TAAAGATTCCCATATGCTGCATAAGTGTCTCAATCTTTAACTTGTCGGTTTTTCAAACCATTCTTCACATAAATCATGAATGTAAGTAATTATTTTGGCCAGTTATATGCAGCAGAGCCCATTGAACTTATAATAGATGACTTTTGTCCTCGGGGTTATGTCTTGATCAATCAATAGAGGGAAGAAAGGGTTGCTGACCTTACTGACAATTATTTAATTAATTAATAATTTCCCCTTAATAGTTGTGCGGAAAGTGCCGGGGTTTGCTGCGTTTGCAAGGTGTGCATACACCATGCAGTACAGCACCTTGGAGGCAGCACCGTCGGGGAGTAGAGAGAGGGAGCTGCTGGGCGATGGTGCCTGTAGATTAGCATGTAGAGTCTTGGTGGTGTCGGTTTGTGGTTTGGTCACTGCAGCGTATGTCGGTGAATTGGAGGTGTTCTTCAGAACTTTAGTTTTCTTCAATATGATTTCTTTCCTGAGTGGGCACTTAGCTGCAAGGGTATGATGATTACCCTTGCAGTTAAGACATATTGGTGCTGTAGTAATGGTGCAGGATCTGAAATCGTGTCCATCATTCCTACATTTTGAACAAAACTTCTTATCCGTGATGGGGCAGTCCTTGGTGGTGTGATTATAGGAGTAGCAGGTCCAGCGGTGGGAGATGTACGTGAAACGTTCTTGTTCTATATGACTTGGGCGAATGTGGTAATATGAGATGGCCAGACCGTCAGAGAGAGCTTGGGCACCCATGGAGATGTCTGAGAATGTAATCTTTAGCATAGAAGAGGCGTTGGGGAGCTTGGAGATGCTGTCTACCGAGGCCCAGGTGTTTTGTTCCTCAATAGATGTCTTCAGAGCTTCAGTAGAGAGAGAGGTGACGATATTGTCCAGTCTTTTCACAAAGACCGAACGTTTCGACTTCAAGAATGGAGACGGGGATAGAGCGAATTGTTGTGTTCGTAGGCTCCTGATTGAAGAGTCGTTCATTAGTTTTGATGCTTCCGTGTCGTCTGTGCAGACGACAATGAAGGAGTCCTTCAGAGAGTGGATTGCAGTAAATTTGAGCTGCAGGCAGGTCTTAACGACGGTAGCTAAAGCTAACTTCGAGGAGTCATTTATTGCACCATTCACCTGGTTGATTTTCACACGATGCGACAGCATTGTGAAAAGGATGTGATGTTTGTAAAATATAAATTTCCCACCCCGGTGGGGTAGAAGAGAGGTTTCTTGAGTGTAGAGCAAAGTGAGGAAAAAGGAAAGGGGAAGAGGGAGAAGGAGAAAAAAAATCAGGTTAAGTCACGGGTGTTCTGAAGTTTGGAACATCTTACACTGTAATAGGAAAAGAAGGCATCTGTATCTCTGTTCCAAGATACAGTTCTGTTCCTGTGTCTGACAGGTATCAAAGACTCCAGTCTCGTGCTTCGACTTTATATTATACCAGACTATGGAGATGAGCTCTTCTAGGTTGAGGGACTGACAACCTCCAACTATTTCTACGAGTTGAAAATGAATGGTATACAGTACCGACCAGATGAAAATTAGACATATGTGCAACATTCGGGTATCTTTACTGTAGACGTGTCGCCATCCAGTAGGTTCTATAACACAGTTAAGGTACGAACAGATGTCTTCGAGGGGCCAGGCCGAGGTGTGGGAGAAGCTAACTCAACACCGCCACCAGCCTTGAAACGCTGCACCCAGTTCCTAACTGAAAGCTCACACACAGCAACATTCTCCACTATTTCTCTTTCTGATTCCCAGCTTTGTGAAGCCCTGTGATTTGAGCTATAGTTTCAAGTGTTAAGACTTCCTTTTACCCATAATCAAACATGTATAGCCCCAAAACTAAAGGGAACACTTCATGAAAGATGGGCGGATGAGAGAGAAAAGTGCAACCCTTCCTCTCATCACAGCAGCCACGTGAGCAATGAGAAGTCACTGTGAAGTGTGGAGGAAGGCTGTGACGTCATGCTAACGGCTGCTACCCAGCATAATGCATAACTAAAAAAGACATACCCCCACGTATGGTAGACCTTTGATTTTCATCAAGGCATTATGCCAGGGCAATCACCCAGCATAATGCCGTAACGAGCACTGAATACTCTGTATTTCAATGAAGAAGCCTACAGTGTAGGCGAAACGTTTCAACAATAAGTATAGCCAACTGTTGCACATGTGACTTACTCATCAACTTGTCGGTATTTTATATCATTTTCAACATTTTTGAAATCGTCTCTTTGTTAATGGTTTGCATTATGAATACCATCTGCCAACACTTCACGCTCTTTCATCTTTTTCCTTCCTTGACGTGTGTCATTGTTTTCTACGAACGCTCGATCAAATACATTGTTGCCCACAAAACCTCGGTCAGGATAGTGTGTTTACATATTTGCCTCGGCGAACAGCAGAGGCAATTACAGAACAGAGTGGTCAGGTCAGCTACAACACCGTTCGTGTATACGTTAGTGCATACTACAATATTGATGTAAAATGCTGTGAAAGGAAGATTCTTTAACAAAAATCCTCCAAGCTGGCATGATCACATCCTAGATTTTATCTATGGTGAACTGAGGGAGATGAGGCGGAACACTAAACGTACTCTAACTAGAAAATTAAATACCCTTATTTTACAAAGTGGCTGAACCTCAAATTCGTACACGACTTTGGAATTAAGGAATTAAGCAGTGATCAGCAGGCAACCCACGGGTTTGGAACAAACTTGGCTCCTACGACTGATGGTGTTAATTTTGTCAACCTTGTAGAATTTCGGCATGCTGAAAAAAAACTTGGGAACTTGAATCTTTAAATATTTGTTAAGGGAAGGTTTTTGGGACCTTACTCCATCTGGTGGTTCTCAACTACCCACTACACTTTACCCAAAGTATACAAGGAACTTGGTAATGATCAGAATTTGCTTCTCATGATAGCAAATAAATCCAAATCGATTGTCATTCTGTATAAGATAGAGTATATAGATGAACCATTCATGAGTGACAATGAGACATAGGAACTACTTGGTATGAATCCCCGTCAACAGGTCAATTATCACTCTAACAAATGTCAAAAAAGCGATTTAACGAACTATTCCGTCTGAACAACATGCCTGCCTTCAATTTTCCGGACTCCGCACCTTCAGCAGACATCCTCAAGATCCTTCCCAACGCCCTGAACTTTACTGCACCTGCAGACCTGTCTCCTGTCCAAGCAACTGCTCCTGTAACTTCTGTAACCACTTCCACCGTTGACAACGTTGATCATGCTGCCTCAACCACCGTCCCCCAGCCTGCTGTTACACAACCAATACACCTCACCACTGCTCCTGTCGACCCTCAGTCACCTGCTACCACCATTGTAGATTCGCCCAATGAATCCACTCCAGAAGAGGAAGATAGCGACGACTCCAGTAAACCCGCATGGGAAAATCTTACCTTCTACACTTCTTCAAATACTGACACCATGACCTGTACTTAACTCTACAAAAGCCTCAGTGCTGGAACAGTCAAGTATGCCTGTGAATCACAGCTTCACTTCACACTCACCCAAGTTCTTGAGTTCATCAAGCCACTACGTTTCACCTTCAGTAACAAGGCTAAATTATACCACCTATCTAGGAGCAGCTTCAAAAAGTTCGAAAATGGCTCCATTGCTAACCTGCCTCCTCAGTTACTCCTATAACTCCCATATGTGTTCTACCCTCTACCATATGTGTTCTGCCCTCTACCATATGTGTTCTGACTTAGCCTGTTGCCAGCAACTCAAGATTCAAGACTTCAACTACCACAAGTTCGATGCAACAGTCCCTGCTATTCCTGTTCTCAAGTCTGTCCCACGATCGCCTTAGCTGCTGGGTTAAGCCCTGGCTCTATTTCTCTGACTAAGAACACTCCTTTCCAGAGCTATTCTTCATCTGTCCCGTCTTCCCCGCTCATCCCATTGGGATCTTACCTGAACTTATTTGATTGATTTGATCCTTCCTGTTAGTGTGACTTTGTAAATGGTCCAAGTCTGACCGAAACGTCGTCGTAAGCTCCTCTCTCTTATGTGCGGGTTATTTTTGTAAAGAATATCTTTCACAACTTCTAAACTTAGTATTAGTTATACTTCAAAAGGGTTCGATCCCAGACGGACCTGCGTTCTCAAGAGTCTTCGAGATCTTCCACTTCACCTTCGACAGTATTTAAGACTTCATTCTCATGCTTCAGTTTCATGGTGTTCCAGACCATGGAGCTGATTTCTTCTCCAAGCTGTGGGGCTGACTACCTACAACTATTTCTACATGGTTGATGAACTGATTACATCTTCTTAACCTTGTCACCTCTGCTGCCTTCAACCTATATACTCTGTATTTGGCTGAAGAAGCCTGACGTGTAGGCGAAATGTCCTGCTGTGGTCTTCAGTTAAGATCACTTAAAGGAATAAAAATCTCACAACCATTTTATTCAGTTTCGACGTCAATTCTTCATTTACATAAAATATAATTTTAAACAATTTAGTGACAAAATTATTGTGGAGAGTTTTAGTATTGTTTCAATAATATACGTCAGCTGTTTTATATTTTAGCTAAGTGAATCACTCAGAAATCGTGAATGGTTTCCTAATTTGAACTTTTAATATTTAGTTGGAGAATATATTCATTACACAGCTTTTTAACGTCTACATGTTAATATTGTATGATATCATTAACATGATGTTTAAGTTAAACAGAATGGGTGTTTTCATTTACCTGAAGACCTAACATTATAGATTGGTGAGGGGTGAGTACTCTAATTATTTGATTTGTTGATGAAGCACTGATAAGGGATACACCAGGTGTCCTGAGAGACTTAAACACACTGCTGCAGCTATCATCACCAGTCAGTTGAGTATAAGCATTACACAATAATATAACCACTAACCACTAACCCTGCCTCTTCTTCCTTGTTGACCACCTCTGGCTAATAAAGCACAATATACACATAACCTCAGCAATAACGAAAGGCAGAATGACGGCAACTTACTAACGACAGAAAGGAAGAATGTAGCAGTGGCTGAACGACCCTGGGCGTCGGAGGCGGTGCAGGTGTAGTGACCCACGTCGTGTTGTGCCTCCACTCTCTGGATGACCAGCGTTCTGTCCCCTCGGGGCATTCTTCTCGACGTGGAAGTGATGGGTCGTCCATGAAGCGTCCACGACACCGTAGCTATAGGGTACCCAGCCACCGGACACACCAACGTCGCTTCCGAAGACTCCACGACACTTACATTGACCGGAGCTCGTGTCGTGGGCTGACCTGTGTGTGGGTACAAGTGGTGGTGTTAACATGGACGAGAGTTCCAGCTTCTTGTGCAGTGGGGGTTGACTTTTGTTATGATGCAGCTTACTCCTTCTTCCAGGAATTGCTTGCCTCTTTCGAGTGCTATTCATCATCTCCAATACCAGTTCAACTCGTCCTACACCACAATTACACTCCATTAACTCGCTCCCACATCCTATTACTCCAACACCTCTATAACTCATTCCTACACTCGTTAAGTGGAATAGTGTGTGTGGAAGAGAGTAGAAGGTAGTGTATGAGCAAGAGGCGGAGAAAGACAGTGAGAGAAGGGGTAGAAGAGTATGTGAAAATCGAGAATAAAAGTAAAAAGTAATTAAATTGTGTGAGGGTGAAAAAGGGTGCAAATGATAGCACAAGATAATTGGAAGGGATGAGACGAGGGGAAAATTAAGAGAAGAACGAAAGATTAGAGAGGAAAGCAAGAGGCTGGTGTGGTGGACAATGCAGGAGTGAGAAAAGAGATTTCAGAGATTCAAAACTAAGTAGGAAGAAAATCAAGACAAAGACATATGAACATAGTATTGTATACACTAACATCAATTATGCATTGATAGTACAATATAACATTAACTCAGTCCCATGAAACACATGATTGTACAGTAAAATACACACACACACTCATCAAAAATGATAGTACAGTATAACTTACACTCACTCACATCAAACGCATGATAGTACAGTATAACTTACACTCACTCCCATCAAACACATGATAGTACAGTATAACTTACACTCACCCCCATCAAACGCATGATAGTACAGTATAACTTACACTCACTCCCATCAAACACATGATAGTACAGTATAACTTACACTCACTCCCATCAAACACATGATAGTACAGTATAACTTACACTCACTCCCATCAAACACATGATAGTACAGTATAACTTACACTCACTCCCATCAAACACATGATAGTACAGTATAACTTACACTCACTCCCATCAAACGCATGATAGTACAGTATAACTTACACTCACTAACATCAAACGCATGATAGTACAGTATAACTTACACTCACTCCCATCAAACGCATGATAGTACAGTATAACTTACACTCACTCCCATCAAACACATGATAGTACAGTATAACTTACACTCACTCCCATCAAACACATGATAGTACAGTATAACTTACACTCACTCCCATCAAACACATGATAGTACAGTATAACACACTCATTCCTATCATACACATGATAGAAGAGAATACTACAAACTTACTTCTATCATACACAAGTTAGTAAACACAACATTGTGCACAGCATAATTTTTCTGAAATTATTCGTCTTAAAATAAAGTTACCGTCTTTCCTAGGACGTATTTTCTCGTGTGATAATATGGTCCAGAAAGAGTGCTAATTGGCAGACAAGAACATCTGAATGGTGGGTTGTACATTACTTCTGTCATCACCTTTGCACCATCGGTCTGAAGTATTCCTACTTTGAAGTCATCTGCTTCCCCTCTGTCCATTCCTCCAACTTCCTGAAAAGTCCACTGGTTTTTGATGAGCAGTGAAACTCTGCCTTCTTTGTTTCCACGGTTTTTCCTCAGGGTCAGATATCAAGTCTGGAAGATTGCATTTGTTATCATCCCCGCGAGCCTTGTCTACTCACTCATCTGTTACTCCATCTGCACTGGTGTACCGAACCTTCAGCTTCTTTTCCAATACTGTGTTCTGGAAGGTGGGTGAGGTTGGTGTAGACTAGGGGTGTGGAAGGCGGGGCGGGATATAATTAAAAGCTGCTGTGATAGTGGTAATAGTGCTGGGGGGTTCGGGCTGTGGAGTGTAGCTGGTTCCTGGTTATAGTGTTTGACTGGTATGAGGCAGAAGTGGTTGAGGGGGTTCTGTAAACATTTGTGTTTATTGGTACCCCTGAGGATGATCTTTCGTGTCTGTCGATGCTTGCTCTGTCTCTCTTTCCTTCCACCGATGTCTTCTTACCCTCACTTTCGGTTGTTCCCATTCTTTTCATTGTCTTTTCATTGCTGATATTTCTTGGAGCCTTTTAAAAGTAGTTTCTGTTGTAATGAGGCCTGGTCACAGACCGGGCCGCGGGGGCGTTGACCTCCAAAACTCTCTCTAGGTATACTCCAGGTAAGATCCTGTTTCGAGCCACTTCTGTTTTGAATCTCAATTTGACTTGGCAGTTTTTTCCCTCGAATACCCCACAAATCTGTGAAAGTTTGTGAGCTGGGACATGTCCTCTTCTCCTGTTGATGTAATGATTCTCTCAATATCTTTTTCACCCAATGTCTTCTTTCATCATAGGTCGTCCCTTTAACCTCCTGAAGCCCATGAATAATTATTGACCTCTCCTCTCGTCTTCTTATTTCTTTTCCTTCCATATCTATGGAATCAATCTAAGCATCTCCTTTGCTTCCCTTATCATCTCACAGTTACCCCAATGGCCTAATGTCACTTCTGCATGGGACTTCTTAGCTCTTTCAGTCCTCTCAAATGAGCCTGCTGACATTCAAGTTCTGCCACACTCCTGTCAGTTCATGTCTTTATATCCTGCTGCAGCACCTCCAGTTACTCTGTCAGGCTCTATATCTTTGCCTCAGCAGCTTTAATACTTAACTCCCAGATCTTGCTCTCTGCAGATATCTTTTCCATCATTGAATTACAAATCTTCTTTAGCCTTTTTTTTGCACACTTGTTCTATTGTACTCCTTATCCTTTCTGCCCATGCTTCCTTCTCAGACCATCCTTTTTGGGTTCCCTTGCCTCTATGTCCCACCTTCTGAGATTCCTTTCAGGTTTTATCTTGTTAGGATGTACTTACTTCTGCAGTCTGTAAACTTTGTTTGAGGAGGTGTGTGTGTGTGTGTGTGTGTGTGTGTGTGTGTGTGTGTGTGTGTGTGTGTGTGTGTGTGTGTGTGTGTGTGTGTGTGTGTGTGTGTGTGTGTGTGTGTGTGCATATGTGGGTACTCACCTAATTGTACTCACCTAACAATGGTAGCAGGAGTCGAGTCATAAATTCTGTCCCCACCTCTTCACTGGTCACTACTAGATACACTCTCTCCCTGCTCCATGAGATTTATCATACCTTTTCTTAAAGCTATGTATGGATTCTGCCTCCACTACATCACTCTCCAGACTACTCCTTTTCCTGACAACTCTGTGACTGAAGAAATACTTCCTAACATCCCTGTGACTATCTGAGCCTTCAGCTTCCGATTGGGACCCATTCTCTGGAACATCCTTGTCTCTGTCCACCTTGTACTTTATATGTCGTTATTATGTCGTCCTATCTCTCTCCTGTCCTCCAGTGTTGTCAGGTCGATTTCTCTTAACCTCTCCTCGTTGGACATGCCCCTTAGCTCTGAGACTAGTCTCAGTGCAAACCTTTGCACTATCTCTAATTTCTTGACGTCGTTGATCAAGAGTGGATTCTAAACTGGTGCTGCATACTCCAGTATGAGCCTGACGTACACAGTGTACAGAATCCTGAATGGATTCCTTAACGAGGTGTAGGAACACTATTCTTAGGTTTGCTAATCGCCCAAATCCTGCTACAGCTATTTGATTGATGTTCGCCTCAGGAGATGTGCTCGGTGTTATGATGACCATAGATTCCTTTTCCTTGAGTGAAGTTAGTAGTCTTTGGCCCACTAGACTGTACACTGTTTGCGGTCTTCTTTGGCCATCCTCGATCTTCATGACTTTGCACTTGGTGGGGTTAAACTCAAAGAGCCAGTGACTGGACCAGACTTGCAACATGTGCAGATCCCTTTGTAGTCCTTCCTGATCCTCGTCCGAGTGAATTCTCCTCATTAACATCACATCGTCTAAAAATAGGTACACTTCTGAGTCTATCCCTTCATTCAGTTCAATCACATATACCAGAAACAGCACCGGTTCTAGGACCGACCCCTGTGGAACCTCGCTCGTCACAGGTGCCCGGTCCAACACCTCGTCTTGTACCATGACTCGCTGTTGCCTTCCTGTCAGGTATTCTCTTATCCACTGTAGTACCTTCCCTGTTATACCTGATTGGTGCACTTCTTGACAACTCTATAGCTGAAGAAATACTTCCTACCATCCTTTTTTTTTGTGTGTGTGAGTGTGTGAGTGTGTGTGTACTCACCTAGTTGTACTCACCTAGCTGAGGTTGCAGAGGTCGAGTCCAAGCTCCTAGACTCGCCTCTTCACTGGTCGCTACTAGGTCACTCTCCCTGAACCGCGAGCTTATCATACCTCTGTGTGTGTGTGTTTGTACTCTCCTATCTGTGGTTGTAGGGGCCGATTCATAGCTCCTGGCCCCAAATATTCAGTGGTCGCTACTTGGTCACTCTTTCTGGTCCATGTGCTTTATCATACCTCTTCTTAAAGCTATGTATGGATCCTGCCTCCACTACATCACTTCCCAGACTGTTCCATTTACTGACAACTCTGTGACTAAAGAAATACTTCCTAACATCCCTTTGATTCATCTGAGTCTTCAGCTTCCAACTGTGACCCCTTGTTGCTGTGTCCCATCTCAGGAACATCCTGTCTCTGTCCACCTTGTCGATTCCTCTCAGTATTTTATGTGTCATTATCATATCATCTCTATCTCTCCTGTCCTCCAGTGTCGTCAAGTTGATTTTCCTTAACCTCTCCTCGTAGGGCATGCCCCTTAGCTCCGGGACTAGTCTTGTTGCAAACCTTTGCACTTTCTCTAATTTCCTTACGTGCTTGGCTAGGTGTGGGTTCCAAACTGGTGCTGCACACTCCAATATAGGCCTAGCGAACACGGTGTACAGGGTCGTGAACGATTCCTTATTGAGATGTCGGAATGCTGTTCTTACGTTTGCTAGGCGCCCATATGCTGCAGCAGTTATTTGGGTGATGTGCCCCTCAGAAGATGTACCTGGTGTTATTCTCACCTCAAGATAATTTTTCTTGAGTGAGGTTTGTAGTCTCTGGCCCCCTAGACTGTACTCCGTCTGCTATCTTCTTTGCC